CCTTTCTTATTTCCTACCATGAAAAGAAGGGAGATGGAGGATTTATTTTCCTCTATCAAACTACCCCTCAAAAGTGGATCATGGACAACTTATCTTCAAGAAGATCCAACTGGAATAGCAGATCAAGAAGCCCAAAGCAAGACTTCCTTAGGGCTTTATTAGCTTTTATTTAGCTATTATGTCAGGACTCTTTTAAGAATATTATCTGTAATCCGATATCAAAAAAAAAATGAATTTTCTTTGGTATTCTGTGATGTTTTCCATGAAACCTTTCATTTCTGCATTCTGCATTTTTGCATAGCATCTCTCATTTAGCATTTGCATATGCATGTATCTCTGTTGTGGCTCATTCGACTTTCTGTCTTTGTCACATCAGTTGACATCTTGACCATCTTATCAAACTTGAAGCAATCACTAAAGGATAGTAAAAAGAACGAAAGATATGGATCCCATGACTGGTTTCAGGGTGATGACTAATCTGATATTTGATCTTCCCTCTGATGACGATATTCAACAAGTGGGTATTCCTATACAATCTCAGCCTGTGCAAGATAACCTGTTTGTTCAAGTCGATGGAAGAGATTCCCAGTTTCTACGGTGTATACCAAATCCTAAGAATGTTCATACTGAGATGATCGACTCGAACACCCGCTGTAAATTTCATGACTGAGTAATGGGGCATTCGAGTGAAGAATGCAAAGTTTTCTAAGAGAAAGTTCAAGAGATGATCGACGACAAATTGTTGACCTTTGAAGGAGAAAGCCCAGTCTTGAATGGAACATTGTTGTGTTGATGAATACGCAGACTTAATAAAATCTTTTAGAAGAGCTTGTTCGACTGTTCATTTCGTTTGCTTATATGTATTTATTTCTTTGATTATAAAAGCATAATTGGCATGTAGGAACTTGTTTTTTCTTGAACGATAATGCATTAAACATGTTTGTCTTGAAGAAATCCATTCGTCTTCACTCATAAAATTATTTTTCATAATTTATAATGCCAACTTTACCCAATCTCTTGCTTTAACAGAGAATTGAGAGGAGGATGATGAATCAAAATGCAAGATTTCTTGTCGTATGCTTTTGAATGAAACCCTGCTGATGATGTAAGGCATTGTTTCAAATCCTAAACACTGGAGATATAAGGAAGATAATCCCTCTTTAACCCCTTCGAGCCTTGAAGTAGGAGTTTTCTTTTCCAAATAAAAAGCCCTCAATTTTAACTCGGGGCAGGGTAGTTCTCAGTTAAATTGATCGAGGACTCAGACTCTCAAAAAGGAGGAGTAAACATTCGAGAATCCATTTTATCTATCCCTAACATATTAGGAGGATAGAAGTCAAAAGACACAAATGATTATCCCTCGACTATCTAAAGAGGGAGGCAGTCACAATCCTTTCAAAAAGGTCAAAATGGCTTAGAGTCACATAACTTGTTCAAAAATAAAAAAATAACAAAAAAGAAAAAGTCCGCTAAGTCAAAACCTATGAAGGAGACTTAGGCAAAATTGAGGCATCCCGCGGGACTTCAAAGTCAAATTCGAAAGACTTCGTCCAGACAAAAGTTAGGGAACAAAAAAAAAGCGAAGGATTAAAATAAAAATCATATGTAAAGAACAAAGTCGTGTGGTCAAACACCAAAAGAAAATAGGTGAGTGACTGCCAGGTCCAAAGCCTTGATGAGTTCTCGACCATATCAAATTTGTTTGAAAGATGAGTGCTCGTATCAAGTTTAACTGAATGTAGGATGGAAGAACATCACGAAGAATGGGTGGGTACAAATAAATTTTGAGTCTTTATCCTTTGTTTCTTAAACCGTGAACTAAACCACGATACAACCTTTAAAAGACCTAATTGAAGTAGGGTTCATTTTGAAAGCATACTCGATGAGATAACGTTTCCTGAGTCCTATGAGCAATGCTCCATTTGATGTTGACTTATAAAAATTAATTCATATCCTAACTAGTGATTTCGGTCGCGAGTTATTGTGATACTTATTTTCAAAAAACTTCAATACAAACATATATGTTGCATTAACAGTTTCAGAATTAACATTTCATGCGTGTTGATTTTTTCCTGATATCTTAGAAATTTTACATATAGACATCAACGATGAAACTTAAAGACTCTGTTGAACAGGGGCAAGTTGTTTCCAGGTTTGCCCACTAATGCAAGTTCTGACATTCTCAAGAGTTATTCTCGAAGACTCGGTCATAATACCATCAACCAGGGTCAGTCACGTCGAGTTTCGACGAATCTCTCCAAGAGTTTGAAAACAGTGGGGCAATTGGACTCCATGTTCTCTGTAAAATCCTCTTGGAACAACTTTTTCCCATAAAGCATGTACCCTGGGGCCACTACAAGAAAAATGATGGATTACGACAGTTATTTTGGCAGGTTACGACGGTTAAAACCACCATCAATTACATTCTACGACGGTTGTAGTACTGTCGCAGAAACGTGTGCCCCAGGCTGTTTAGCGACGGTTGAAAAAACCGTCACACACAACCGTCGTTATATTTCACGACGGGCTTGAACTGACCTAAATTGGAGATGGCGACGGTTAAAGACCGTCGTTACTAGCCTTTTGATTTTTATTTTTATTGTTGATTGTGACGGTTTAAAACTGTCGTGAACTCTATTTCACGAATGGTTGGAACTGACATAAATTGGAAATGACAACAGTTAAATACTATCGTGAATATCCTTTTGATTTTTGTTACCATTGTTGATTGTGACTGTTTAAAACTGTCGTGAATGTGATAGCTTGACAGTTCATTATTAATTTTTATATATTGTATTATATTGTTTTATAATATATTCTTTTATTTAAATTATTATCTACTAAAATAGTTATATTATTTTTTCTTTAAATTATTTATACAATAATATTTTTATTTATAGTTTTTTTTTAATTTTTTTCTATCGCTTTTTAACGTAGTAAAATTAATTCCAAAACTTAATATCAAATAAACATTATAATATCGAAAAAATGTGAGTTTCATAATCATGTAAAATGAAAGTTCCATAATCATGTCATGTAATACAAAAATCCAAAAACATATCAAATCATAATCTTATAACAATAAGTATCATTGTGCCAAAAATTAATAAGGTTCATAATCTAGAAAGTATGTCATTATAGAATTCGGTAGCTAGACTCAGATGAACGTCTACCATCTGTAGGTGATTCCAATCCCTAGAAAAAAATTATATTAAAATAATATTCTTTAAAATAATACTCCGAAGCTTTAACTTTAAATTCATCAAAATAATATATCTGTCTTCCACTAGAATTTGCATTTGCATTAAGACTTCAATTTCTTCTTTCATAGCATTGTCTCTTTACTTTAAGAATGCGATTGCCTCCATCAATTCATCAATTTTTGAATTTTTTTCTTTAAGTGCAATAATTTCTTGTTGCATTTCCTTTATTTTTTTTATTTTCTGCAGAAGAAGATGTCGATCTTGTAGATCTATTAATATGAGATGGCGTAACTCCAAGTCCCATACTACGAACATATCCATGTTGTTCTTTTTCAAATACTTTCTGAAATGCCTCATTTTCAGACACAGAATCCTTAATTGCAGCTTGTAACTTTTTCTGCACATGAAAAAGAGTAAATTGAGCAAGCAAACTTAACTTAACTTTTTAATCTAGCTAATAAAAAAATTTCTACGTCTTAAGGGAAAACAAACAATGATTATAAACAAAAACTGATAAATTTTTGTATTGATGAAAAAGATGTTTAGTAATTTAAAACTTGGTTTAGCTAGTTAGTCTATTTATGATGGTAAATTTCAATTCCAATAAGTTTTATTGGCTGCTCGAATTATTTAAAATTTCAATTCCAGTATGCATTTGTGATGGTAAATTTCAATTTCAATAACATATTTGATTATGTAAAATTTGTATACATGTTAAACTTTCATCTTATTACTTGTATTTATTTAAACCTTGAATTCCAGTATTTGTAAAAGTTATGCTTAATTTAGTGAAAATATATGTTACCAACTATTCTCATCTAAGACACACAAGTATGTAACTAGTAGAATTATATGTTTTCACATCATATATAAAATGTAATCTTATCTTAATTTTATATTTTATTTCTATTTGTCTGAATAATTAGTTGACTTTATAAAGAGCACAATCTATTGTTACAAGACTAATTAATTAACTCAAATAATCACAATTTTCAATCTAATTTAACTAGTTTTCAGACAGGTTCTCCCCACCTTTAAGAGATGCCAAAAGGTTTGATTTTTTCTCATACCTTAAGGAGACTAACAAATATTTAAAAAGAATTAACTTGTACTTACATTATTATTGTATGCATCTTTACTGACAAAAGACCCGTCCGACTTTTTATGAGAAACTGCATACATTTCTCCTCTACTGTATGTTCGTCCATCTCTCGATTCCTACAAATAAGAAAATATATTAATTATTTTTACCATCAGTAATACATTCAAATCTATATAAATTTAGACATACCAACTCATGTTTCTTCCTTGCAAGCAACTTAGATCCGAGTGTATGTGGAGTCTTCAATTTTGCTCTATTTTGGGCATTTTTTTGAGCTATTTTCTACATAGTTAACAATTAAAAACATGCGTTATAGATAAGGATAACATACAAATCAGATAAATCTAACAAATAAAAGCACTAATATTACTTGTGTTTTTTCTTTCCGCCTATATTGAACAAAAACAACCCAATCATTTTCCAGAATGCCTCTGCATATTGGATAATTTTGAAGATTTTCCTCCAAAGTGACTATAATTACAGGATAAGAAACAACCACCATACTAGTTTCTATAATTACTCCAACATCATAAAAAATGACTTTAGAAACTAGGGATATTTACTGAGCATTATTTAGGCATATTATATTAAGATATAAATTAAACTTTCACTCTTACTTAGAATAACTTCATAGGTATAATGCTACAGGACATGATGACAACTTCTAATCTTGCGTAAACTTACTGCATGATGCAATGGGGCCTACTACTGAACCTCATATTCACGGCCTTCTGGATGTTATGTTTTCATCTGGTCTTTCGACTGTTCTTGTGGAAACTTTTGAGCAAATAAGTATGAGGTATGAGTCCAACTTTGAACAGAAATTTCAGCTATTCAGTAAATAGTTTATAAGTAGTTTCTATCTTTGTTATTCAGCATTCCATCTCTGATTCCAACCATTCAAGACCAGCTACTGTACAGTATATCTATGGTTCTTTCTAAATCTCCTTATCTAGGGAGGCCTGTGCAAAGCATCGGTAAAGGAAAAATTGTAAATATCAGTCAGCAAGTTTCAGAGCTTAGTGGTTCTGCTCTTATACAGCTTGCTTTGAAGACCCTTGCCCGTTTTAACTTTAAGGTTATGTATACTCTTTTATGTGTGAACTTCTGTCACGGATGATGAAGTCCTCATCTTTTATGTTGTTGAAAAATAATTGCTACTTATTTCTTTGGTATTGCGAGCGCATATTTTGGTTCTAACAGGCTGTCTCGATCAAGAGGGAAGCGCTGCTGTCTTGAAAATTTTGAATCACTGAAAATTGAAAATCACAGGTTAACAACCTTTTTGTAATTGAAGACCTCATTGTCCATTGTCTAGCTTAGTGTTTAGATCTTTGTCATACTTGCAGAGAGACTAGAATGCTTTGAGGTATTGAGGAGTTAGTTGTTTTTCTGAGTTTCACTGTCAGTTCTTGTGAGGTGGATGCATCGTGATAAACTCATTGCACTTTCTTTCCTATTTAGTTTTCACTTTAAAAAAATCAAATATTGTTTTCTGAACACAACTATATGAAGAAAACCACTTCCAGAGATCCAATTGAAACTAGTACACCAAAATTTTAAGGTTAATGATTATCCACAATTATCATTACTCCATGTTCCACTTTAGGTGCCTTGAACCCTTTCTCAAGCTCATGAATGGTATACTCAAGGATCCTTGATGAAGGGTTAACCATGCGGTGGACTACATAGTTTCCAATAATCACATTGTTCAATGATTTCTGAACATAATTAAGTAAACATGTGTAACCAAAGTGAAGCCTAATTGCATCCCTCACATATTATCTTGTCATTCCACTAGGTCCTAATTTCATGCTTTGTCTTCTTTCACTGCATCAACAGTCACTTGAGCTGCAAACTCTAGTCTCCTTGTTGGCCATCTACTATCCATATTCACCACTGGTGTGCTGAATTTCTTATACCTTGTTGATTTTTCCTTACTCATGGAATCCAATCTACTACATGAAGGTGAATTTTTGGTTGAATTTCTTGATAGAAATGTTGTAGTAGAATAAGAAGGTGAAGTAGAAGCAGAATTAGAACCAGAAGAACAAATGATTATTATCTTTGATACGGGTCGACGGGACTTGACAATTAGCTCAAATCTGAGACACTCTTTAATTGTGATAATTTGTGTTTCACTTATATCTCTATAAAAATGAATCATTTGTTTTATATCTTTATGGCAATTTGTCTTACTCAAATCTCGTCAAGAAATAACGAACCAAGAGTTTCAATTGTTTCATAGTACTTTTGCTCTGTTGCGCCAAAGCTTCCACGACAATGTTGGTGAAAATATTGAATTAGAGTTTGCCTCTCTCACTATGGATGTTGTCGAGCTTGCTGCAATGATATATCCTTTGTAGTCACAAATGATGTTAAGCGATGAGGAGAGCTTATGAGGTTATTCTGTGTTGGTTTTATGCATAATCAGGAGGTGCGGTTCAAAGAGGTCAGCAATTCAGTTTGCTGGGTTGCAGGGCTCTTTCCTAGGCTGTCTGTGTGTTGGAGCAGTTGTCTGAATCAAAGTGGGTTCTAGGCTCTTCTTTGGCTGCATTGCTTCATTCCAGATTCTTGCCTGATGTTGGCATTTTTCCTCCGCTTGGTCGTCTCTGAGGCAGCATCAACATCTTTTTGCACATAAGTAGTTATTTTCAAGATACCAACTTCCAACACCTACATTAGTTTTGGTGAAGCTAAGATTGAGGACTTGAGTTCACAACTACCAACTCAGGCAGCAGAACAGTTCAAGGCTTCTAATTTGAATTGTGTCAGAGCGAAGCCAGAATCCTTTCGTATTGCTCCGGAAGACGAATATGTAGACGAGATTGGTGTTGATCCTAAGGATATCGAGTTGGTGGTGACTCAAGCTGGTGTGCCAAGATCAAGACCTGTTAAAGCTCTCAAAGTTGCCGATGGAGACATTGTTGCTGCCCTTATGGAGCTTGCTACTTAATGCTCAAAATTGGCAGTGTTTTAGATTGTGGAGCTTACTACTTAATGCTCCAGCATGAAAAATATACAGGGAGATTAGGATAACCAAGAAAGCCGTTATTTCTTCCGCCAAAGAGGTTTCATAGATCAATCGAGCTTCTTTTTCTCGGTATATTAAGATTCTATTACTACTATGAGAGTTGTTTCTTGAGATATCATTTTCGTCACAATCAGAAGAAATTGGTTGCTCTCGCATATGATTCTCAAAAGAGCAACATAGATTAAATGATGAAATGAATTAAGGAAGTTGTATGAATTTGTAAAGACTATTTTGGATTGTGAATTACAACACTGTGATGTAGTTGAAATCAATGATTCGCACTCTACCATTTTTCTATCTCTGCATTAATTTCGCTACTATGAACAATTATATCTTTCTCAAAATATTCTATAAAAGATCTAGTCTAAAATAACACAGCCCGATATTTCGATTTAAATTACAAGTATAGTATGAAGCCTGTTCTGAATTATAAACAATGTATCAAAAATCAAGCTACAAGTTTAAACTCTTAAACAAGCAAAAGACTCCAAATCAAACAACAAGCACAATAGAGAAAGTAACCGCCGCACCCAGACACAATCACCGGAAACAAAACCGAGTCTGATACGAACTCAGGACAAAACCATTGAATTAACAACATACAAGGTTTCAAACCAGGATTCGATTCAAGGTTTGAAAAGTAATTTAGGGTTTGAGAAGACAAACCTGTTAAGATTCGAATTGATAATGATTGCTTTGACGGTGATTCACAATGACAGCGTGAGTGGCGTGAGTCACAATGACGGTGATTGTTTTCCTCTTTCTCCAAGGGTATGAACGAAGATTTCTGAAAAAGAAGAGAAAAATACACCTAAAAAGGAGAATGAATTTTCAATTTTAGCGGGAAAAAGATGAAATTTTGGAAGACAACCGATGGATATCACAATCGACATGGTATAATTTTATTTTAATTAATTTTTTTATTTAATAAATGGATGTTGATTGAAATGTTTTGTTTATTTGATATTTTATATTATTATGAGTATATATAGTTTAATTTTATGTTTAATTTTTACTATAAAAATTGTTTCTAAAATTTTGAGTTTATAAAATTTTAATATATAGTTTAATTTTAATAATTTAATTTTGGATATAATATTTTGAATTTAATTTTTACTATAAAAATTGTTTTTAAAATTAAATTTTTATTTTAAGTATATATAATATTTTAATTTTTATATATTTTTAGTTTAATTTATTACTATTAAGCTATATTATCATGAAAATTATAATAATTATAATAATTATAATAATTATTTATTAAATTAATTAATAAAATTAAAAAGGTTAGAAAATAAAAAGGACTAAAAAAGTTGAAAATAAAAAAACAAAAAAAAATTGTGATTATGATTGACTAAAGTAATTGTGACAGTTCGCCTTAACTGTCGCGAGTGCGGAAAAAGGGCGGTTCTTTGGTAACTGTCGCATTATTTTATACAACATGCCTAAATAATTTGCGACGGTTGGCTCAAACCGTCGTGAGAACTGTCGTAGTCCAGGAATAAGGACGGTTTTTTGATAATTGTCGCAAAAAATCTACGACAGTTGACCCTAACTGTCGTGACAACTGTCGCAATCCAGGAATAAGGACGGTTTGTGATAATTGTCGCAACTCAAGTTTTGTAAATCTCCTTTTTTCTTGTAGTGGGCATTTGAGAAACAAATATTATGTTACCCATTCATAACACTTATTGTTCAAAATGGCGACTATTACGAGGTTCAGCAGGATCAAAGCTACCTTATTTTCGCAACATCCTTCATATCCCCGATGAACTTTACTTCAGGAGGTCAAGATTCCTCCGATAAGATCTCTACTCCAAGCAGTGATGATCAATGCGAGAAATCTCCAGTTGGTGACCTGACTGTTTCTCCAGTGATTTGTTCAACTTCACTTCCCCAATGAAGCAGACGTTATTTTACTCCTCAGTGGGTCTTTCACCACGCTAATTTCCCCCAACAAAGCGGATGTTTATTTCATCCCCATTGAAGTTTCGACTCCAGCATATTCAACAGCTATGTTAACTCAGATTTTCCCATTGAAGTGGATGTTTATTTTATCCCCTGTGAAACCTCGGGTCGGGTATCTCCATCAACAACTTCAGTAGGAATTTCTCCAGTGAAGCAGATGTTTATTTTTGAAGCTTCTTCTAATATGAGTTTGATCCGCTCTTAGTAGATCTTTATTCTCATCTTCAACAGAGTAACCAGATTCATCTTGACAAATCCTTCAAGTAAGATCAAGATGTTGTATCCCCAAGTGGAGTGTTTTCTATTCCCCAGAAGAAGTTTGGAAGCCTCGAGGCAGGACTATGATCCTATATGGTTCTCCATCTACCCCTAGTGGTACTTCTACATTTGAAAATTGGTCAGATGTTCACTTCGAGATGTTTATTTCATCTCCGGTTGCCTCTTTATGTTTGTTTTGCCAGCATAAGCATACGCATAACATATAGATAGATAGCATGGCATGTGCATCTTACATCTTTGTGTTTGTTTATTTCGTCACTTTGGCTGTGTTTATCCCCAAGTGACTGGGTTTGTCTTCTCCCTCCAAGTAGAGTTGTCAGCCCTAAGTAGAAAAGACAACAATATTTCTATTTCCCCATGGAGTTCGATCCTCGTGGAAGACGATTGCTCTAGTTGAATCCCATTTGAGTTCATACCTCAATGGTCGAGTCTTGATTGACAGTTTCTCTTCAATTATTTCCTGATTTGAACTTCGGTCCCTAACAATCATATTTTTTGGGTATCTCTAGGTTTTTGGATTAGGCGTGCATTTATTTTGCACTTTGCTCCCCGAGAAGGATCTATTTGAAGATCACCATTGAAGACGAAATGTTTCTCCAACAATATCACAAGATCTTCTCAGCAATTTATACCTGAACCATAAATGACCTCTTTATTTGAGCAACTTATTCGATCAGGTTTTCTATCAAAGATGAAAAATGTTGCACCCCAAAATTTGCCCAACCTTTTCTTGACTTGGTTTATGTTTCACTTCATTTTCTTTAAGCATTTGCATTGCATAACATTGTTCATTTGACAGGGGATCGAGGTTTTCCTGTGGCTCAGAATTCACTCTCAGT